CATAAACGAGCAGCAGACGGCGAACTTTTTTAGCATTACAATGTTCAAAAAATCAAGTTTTTTCCTTTTTATTACGCTCTAAAAGTATCAAAGCTCGAATAATTCATTTGGTTCCCCAAGGTTAAACGAATAATTATTCGAACTGTTCTTAATACAGAAGCAGTTTATTCTCTTCGCATACAGCGGGAAAAACTTCAGCAACCTTCAATTCACTTTAGCCTTCATCTTCAGATCTTTACCACGAAATAACTGTGCGAGTATACTCTGCGTGTGCCTAATAAACTGCAGCTAAAAAAGAAACATTTTGGCTGTTTATTAAATAAAAAATTGAAACCACGTAACGTCTAATTTATCTCGGTCCATTTCGCCATCCTTTCACATATAAACCTCAATGAAATCCAGCCACTCGACTGTCTAGAGGACAGTTACATCAAAATGAGATAACTCGCAAGTATGCTTGTTCTACTATATTTAGCTGTGTCTTCGGCAAATTATGAACAGTTTTAAACGCTCCACCCTGTTCAATCTTGCTCGATTTTTCTGAAAATGCGTTTGTTTTAGACTGCTTTAGACGGCTAATTGTCCACACACGCATGTAATTTTTTATTTAACGCTGATATCATTATTACTTTATTTTATTAAGCATTCCGGGCTCTTCATTTGAATCAAGCAACATAATATCTAATCTTTTAGCAAAAGTGGTAAACTGTAAAAATATATCTAAACGAAACACACAGATAAGATTCCAAATTACAATATCTGCCACCTAAATGGCTTTTAAGTAGGTGCTGCAGATAGTTGTTGCTTGTCAATATCGAGTATTTTATAAGGAATTTCAGATTTGATCTGATATTTACCTTGATGGTTTGGCAGCTGTTTAGTAATATAAGACGTTCTAATATAAGCTCAAATTTTTAAAAGATTCAAAAAGTGGTAAACTAATTACTACCAGAGAAAATAAACGAGGGCGAAATTTGGAATAAAGTAGTCGAGCAGAAAATAACGAGTGGCATTCCTGATTGGCATTAGTTTGAATGCTACAATATCAAGTTTGAGTAAGAAAAAAAATTAGCTATAATAAATTTTAAAATGAGGTGGATATTAAAAATCAAGAAAAATTTTTGTAAAGGTTTTACTTACGCTGTACATCTCTGGTAATAAACGTTTCCCCACCCTGTTGTTTCCTTCATAAATATGAGCTAATTACAGATCCTATAACACTAAGTAGCCTCTAGACCAACGAAACACATCTCAGTTCAAACTGGAAGTCCCAAAAAAATTCAGTACTGAGCAAGAAATCAATCTGCAGCACCCACCTGAGAGTCTTTTAAGTAGGAAGTACTGTAACTAGCAGTCCCATATGTGCATTTCTTCTAGATGTTTTTACAGCTTATCATGCCAACCAAGGAACGAAATGCACGTGCTATTTCGTTTGGCCTTGAATGCATAATAAATGGACAAAGCTGACAAAAGTGTAGCCCTTGGATGAACTGGAAGTATAGGCGCCGTCATTTCTAATTTCTAATTCGTGGCAGGACCAGGTTACCGTAGTACGGCCGGCTAGCAAGTTTTAAAAATGCTGACCACTAGTCAAATTGGACGATGTTTACCAAGTTTATTTTCTATGTTTTGCGGATTTTTTTGCACCATTCGTTTCGTCAGAA